TTACCTCTCATTTATCATTATGAAGAATTCATTTTCAAACATTGATTAAAGCCAATCTTAAAACGATTAAACAAACGCCTGTTTGAGACTCATCAGTGCTCACAAAAACTTGGAGAAATAAATAAATACGGATATGTTATTTAAAACCACCTCGAATATGTTGTGTTAATGTTATGAAATGTTTTCTCATAAATGATGCGGTAAGCAGGAGGACAGAATAACGTCTAAACTGACGCCGTTTTGCATTTCTATAGGTTGTAGATACGAGCATGGTTTTATATACTATCACGTTTAATCGTGTTTTATGCCGTTTGCCAAGACTTGATAAGTCGCTCGTAAAACACAGGAGGTATGGAAACTAAGAACACCATATGTGGTAAATTGTACAGCTAATATAACACAACACATTAGTTGTATTTCCTTTAACTGGCGGATTATGGATATATAGTTGCTGATCGACAGCTGGAACACAAACCACCAAATACAACAAAAATAATTCAGATCCAGTCGTCATGACTCCACTCCGGAGGGATTCCCCGATAATTTCTTACAGTTTCTCATCAAGGGGGTGTCTCCTGTCCCCGGGACAAACACACTGCCTGAGGAAGGTTAGGTTATGTGTATTTTTTTTGTCATTAACTTTTTTCGGACCACTTATTTATTTATTTTGGTGACGATCCGACCTCCATGCTGCTACTCTGGTTCAAACTGCATCCACCAAACAATATGATTTATCTCGACCTCCCCAAAATAACCAAAATCTGACAGGGTGTGAGATGTCTTTTTTAGCTGTTCGGTCGTAATTTCCTGCGATCTTCTTCATGCAGTCAGTCAAAATGAATGAATGAATGGGCGTTTCCATATAGGCAAATATGGGCGTTACGTGAAGCCTGCAAAAGCTGCGCCGCATTTCGAGTCGATTGTGATTTATAAAGGGAAACAGGCGTAGGAAGCAATAGGCTCTGTGCACAAGATGGCCAAAGCAGCCAAAATAGAGCACATTTCTCTGTTAATCTCCAAAAACAGCCATAAACCTCAGGTTCTTTTTAATGTCCTCAACTCTATCATTAATCCCTGTGATGTTTCTTCTATTGTCCCATCGACTACTCTCTGTGATAAGTTTCTTAAATTTTTTATTGAAAAGGTATCTGCTCTTAGGCTAGCCCACACTAGTGCTACCCCAGATCCTGCTCCTTTTCTGTGCCCTGCTGTCCTCGACCACTTTGACCCTGTATCCCTCTCTTCTCTCTCGGATGTAGTCAAGCACCTGCGGCCGACAAACTGCACCTCAGACAGCATTCCCTCTCGCCTTCTCAGAGATGTTTTAGAATCAGTTGGAGCAAGTATTTTATTACTTTTAAACACCTCTCTTACCTCAGGATGTGTCCCAGCTGCCTTCAAACACGCCGTGGTTAAGCCACTCCTTAAAAAGAAAAATCTCGACCCCTCCATTCTCGCAAATTTTAGGCCCATCTCCCAGCTGCCTTTTTTATCAAAAGCCCTGGAGCGAGTAGTCTACGCCCAGCTGCAGTCTTTTTTAACCACGCATGGAATCCATGAAAAGTTCCAGTCTGGCTTCAAACCCATGCACTGAAACAGCTCTTTTAAGAGTTTTTAATGATCTGCTCCTAGCCGCCGACTCAGGCAGCCCAGCTGTCTTGGTGCTGTTAGACCTGACAGCTGCCTTTGACACTGTGGACCATAGCATCCTGTTGTCACGGCTTGAACAGTCCGCTGGCATCACAGGCTCCGCCCTTGCATGGTTCAGGTCCTACCTGACAGACCGTAGCTTCTCGGTACAGCTAGGTGCCTTCTCCTCTGCCAAAGCCCCTCTTACCTGTGGGGTTCCCCAAGGCTCGATTCTGGGCCCCATCCTTTTCCTACTGTACATACTGCCCCTAGGTTCAATACTCACAAAACATAACATTCCCTTCCACTGCTACGCCGACGATGTACAGATATATCTGCCTCTAAAAGCAAATGTCACACACTCACTACAGCAGCTGATGGACTGCTTAGCAGAGATTAAATCCTGGCTGAGCAAAAACTTCCTCAACCTCAACGAGAGCAAGACTGAGGTCATCTTTTTTGGACCGCAACCTCCAGCCTCTCCGGTTGATATTCTGGGCTCTCTCAAAAAAAACATCCTCCCCTCGGTCATGAACCTTGGAGTGACATTCACCAGCACTTTTAAATTTGACAAGCAGGTTAGCACCGTAGTAAAATCCTGCTTTTTTAAAATAAGACTATTGGCCAAAACCAAGTCGTATTTATCTTTTAAAGACTTGGAAAGGGTTATCAACGCCTTTGTAACCTCGAGACTGGACTATTGTAACGCTCTGTATGTGGGTATGGACCAGGCCTCAATTAAACGCTTACAGCTAGTCCAAAACGCGGCTGCACGTTTACTGACTGGTCACAAAAAGCGCACCACATCACCCCTATTCTGGCCTCATTACACTGGCTTCCAGTTCGGTTGAGAATTTATTTTAAAGTCCTTTTATTTGTTTTTAAAGCCCTAAATGGGCTGGCTCCGGCCTATATAGCTGAACTGCTCCAGCGCTACACCCCAGCCAGAGCTTTAAGGTCTGCTGACCAGCTGCTGCTGGTAGTGCCCAAGACCAGGCTAAAAACCCGAGGGCACCGAGCCTTCGCAGCAGCTGGCCCCAGGCTCTGGAACACTTTGCCCCTCCATGTGAGGTCGGCCCAGACCCTAGGGGTTTTTAAATCCACATTAAAAACACACTTCTTCTCTCTGGCCTTCTAATTAGAGCGGAGCATGACTCCTGACTTTTCCGTGTGTTTTATATCTGTTATAGTTATATCTGTTGTAATTTATTGTTGTTTATTGTGTTTTGTAGTAATGTGTTTTTTATTACATGTACAGCACTTTGGCTCGACCAAAAATCGCTTTTAAAATGTGCTTTATAAATAAAACCTGATTTGATTTGATTTGATTTGATGGCGTCTATCAACTTCCGGCGGGTGGGTGTGGGGGCGAGTACTTCCGGTTTGAGTACAGAGTTTTTACAGCTTGACAGTTTGACAGTTTCTTATGACACACCAAGAGCAAGAATGAGCGGATTTCGGGGTAAAGAAAAGCGATTGGCCTTCCAGCGGGTAAGAAAGTCGGCACTACATTGCTGTGTGCCACTGTGTACGAATTCGGCCCGTTATAATCGGGAGATAAGTTTTCATGCATTTCCCATTGATGCTGAGGTAAAGGCTCAGTGGCTGATCAAGGTCCGTAGGGACAATTTCAGCCCCACAAAAAATACCCGTGTGTGCAGTAGGCATTTTCGACCAGGAGACTTATTGGTCACAGCGGGAGGACTGCACAGAGTACAGAAAGGAGCTACACCTGTTCTCTTTGCATGGAATAACTACGAGCTACCTACACCAAGACGTAATGTTTGGGAGCGTCGGCCGAGGGCAGAGAGCCCCACCCCGGACTTGACAGCTGAGTACGAGGTGGAAACAGTTGCGCTGCCTGATCATGAGTACTGTTTAAATCCCGCGACGGCAGTGATGGCAAATCAGGTGGCCGACGAGAACGAAGCCTTGAAAATGCAGGTTAGGGAGCTCCAACACCAGCTGGAAGTGTTACAACTGCGATACAACGCCTGGCAGGGTCGGACGAGGACATTAGTTTCTACACCAGGTTTGTTTATAAGGCTATCAGGATGTTGTTATGGCCACTAGTTTGAAAAACACCTTTCATTTGGGGAAGCTAATTTAAGAAACAAAACAATGTCTAACATGAACAATATTACATTCTTAGATTTGCCACATACAAGCATTTCCTTGCCTTTTGGAAATTGGTGGAGCCAGCAGCCAACACCAAGATGGTGCGGATCACCAACGCCAAGGCATCCTCTGCCAGCAGCTCGGATTCCTCTCAACCAACAACAACGGTATGCAGCATACAAGCATGGATGTATATTAATAATTATGCACGCTGCGCACTATACCACCGTTTAACAAGTGCATCACATCACACACACGGAAAATGTGTTACAACTGTACCCGGTTCCCTATAACAGTATCTACAGTATGCCTAACACTTATTTGTTTTCACAGAAACTTCCACCCATAGATGAGCTGCTGCTGTTCCTCATGCACCCGTCAGTGGGCCTACATCTGAGGGATCTAGCAGAACGGTTTGGCATTCACCGCACCACAGTCAGCAGAATTATTTCCACCTGGACACACTTCCTGTACCAACTGCTTGGAAGCCAACGTCTGTGGATCCCACGCAAAGTTGTCAGAGCTCACCTTCCACCAGAGTTTTCAGCTTTCCCTGACACACAAGTGGTGCTTGACTGCACTGAAGTATTCTGCCAGACTCCATCATCTCTCCTGCTGCAGAGTGAGGTGTTTTCAACATACAAGTCACATGCTACATTCAAGGCCATGATCGGCATGGCACCACATGGTGCCATTACATTTGTGTCTGGCCTGTATGCAGGATCTATGAGTGACCGGGAGATTTTCAAGCTGTCTGGCATCGTGAGCCTGCTCACACCAGACATGGCAATAATGGTCGACAAAGGGTTCCTTGTGGACAATCTGGTTGAGTGCAAAGTTTACCGGCCTGCCTTTCTGTAAAAAAAACCCCAAATGAGCAGGGAGGATGTCAGGCAGACTCAATCCATTGCACGTCTGAGGGTCCATGTGGAGAGGTGCATCAGAAGGGTCAAAGAGAACAAACTCTTTGACAAAGCCATACCACTGTCTGTGTGTGGAAGCATTGAGGAGCTTTTCAATGTGGCTTGCTTCCTGGTCAACTACCAGAACGGACCACTGGTGAAAGCATGGGCAAGCCTGGGCAGCAATGATTAAAAGATTTCTTGCTCCCAAACCAATTGTGTATTTCATTGTGGTCGTTACAAAAAGCAGTCATACCATACTATGTTTAGGTACTAATGAATTATAACCTCAAAACAAATGCACACAAAAATAACATATACAATACATAATATAATAAATCCACAATATGATAACATTTTACAGATTCATTTAATACACTTTTACAAAACATAGGTTGATGTTATATCGGGGGAAAAAAATACATATTTAAACATTTCAATTAGTCTCTGCATATTTAAGTAATGCTAGTTTATGTAACAGATGAACAGATCAATGCAAGATAAGTTAGTTAGCATCCACAACTTTTGTTAATGAATAACGTCATATGACATTAAATGTCTGCCAATAAACACCCCTTTCTTCCTCACATAGGTCCTTTGACTAAAGGATCTTTTTGACTTATAGAACACACTTGGTTCTGGTTTTAGCAATTGAAAGAACTATATACAGGAAAATATTCATGTTAGATCAGTAATGTAGTGTGATGTAGTGTGGTACACTAATGTAGTGTAGTGCATATCAGTCCATGTAAAAATAAAAATAAAAATAATCTCCCTTCTCCCTAATGGTTGTAGCCACCTCGCAGTCTCTGCAGATACGCTGTATAAGGATATCCTCCTCTGCAAAAACGACAAAATCGCACCACTCCATCCCTGTGAGTAGGAGCTGGCCTTGCACCTGCCAATAGTAGCTATGAGACTGCTTCAGTTTTAATGTGCCACTTTGCATTTTTAAGTAGCTACAGTCCACATAACTTTTTGCATTTGGGCATTTTATTTCAACAAGTCCAAAAGGTGGGCTCTCAGTTGGGTCAAACACCAGACCGTCAGGAGATGACCCTAACCAGGGGGCATCTGGGTGAATGACAAACCCACACGGCCAGTAATTGGTGTTTTTAATCCGGCAGTATTCCTGGATGGCAACCGGTTCCAGTGCCAGTCCCCTCTTCATTGATGCCGTTTGCGCCACTCCCTTCCGAATCCGTTGTGCTAAGTTTTCAGCCGAACTCTGACTTCGAACATGGCATACTTCCCTGAAACGGGAAGAAGTTATTCTTGGCCTCCTAACACGGTGCCATTCCACACTGTCGCTCTGCTCCCTTGTGGCCACCTCGATTTTCCTTGCCATGAGCAATGTTGTCGCAAGTGACAGTAGATGGAGGTGCTGTTGGTGACTGCACACAAACTCACAGGTGGTAGGCTCCAGCCTATAGCCATCCACAGGTAGAGGTGGTGGTGGAGGGGCATCTGGGTGACGCACTATAACCCAGCTAAGAGGTAGTGGATGCTGGTATGAGATAGGGCTACCTTCCTGAACTTTTCCAAAGGTGGAGTTAACCAGTGGCACGTCCACACTTATAGCCATGGTGGTGATCAGTGGTGCGATGTCTGCTGAGAAGTCCTTGTATACCTCGCTGACTTTGAGGACATCTGGGTCTGGCAGCTTCCCCCGCACGGCCTTGTAACGTGTACTCCTTTGAACATGTTTATATAATAATTAGGACTTTAAGAACAATTTTACACTCAGACAACAATCACAAAGTTGTTGCAGGCTATACAATTACTTAGGACAATAGATATTACCTTACACCGTCAGCAACTGTAAACTGCTTTGGCTTAGTGGAAATGAACACCATGTCACTCTGCCTGGTTTCACACCCTATTAATTACACAAAAGAATTGTCAAATTCATTGAAATGGTCATTGATGCAACATACTAGATCAGCTCTTGGCACAAAGGAAATACTCATTAAACCGTGGATTGGTTGTGAACACATACTGTACTTACCATGGTTCTTGGCTTGTGCCATCGCTGCTCTGTTTCAGTGCAGCTGAGGACAGGGGGTACAGCAGCCAGGTTGAGTGTGGAGTAGTGTGCGGTCTGGAACAGCAGTGCAACATTGTGGTTGCAGAGTGCTGTTCCAGCTACACAGGAACACTTTGCCACTGCAATCTCCACTGGTGAGCAGTTCTCAAAGACAATCTACACATTAAAATAAAATGTCAGTCATTTTACATTTAGAATACCGCTTCAATACAACACAGAAAAATGAGAAAGCTGAGAGCAGGCTGATCAGGCAAGTAGTAGGTGTGGGAAAAGGCTAAACCATGTCAGGTTATCAGTCACATCACATACACAGAAGTTCTGCTATTTGGAATACTGTAATTTAAGGACATTCAAACAGAAACTCTCTCAGCTGTCTCAATTTATTATCTTATTATAACTACATAAAATAGTGTTAGTAGAACGTTGAACAGCTTAACATAGATGTAGGGTACAAAACCAGCACTTACCCATACAAATAACTGGACCCTACATGGATTATACTAACCATACAGTAAAGAACAGCAGCCGTCACAACCAGTTTCTGGGGTTTCCATGAAAGCAGAGACGGTTTTCAACCTCTCATTAATAATATTTGATGAAAGCTAAGTTTGGGTTTAGCTAATGTATTTATCATTTTACACGAGAGGGTTACAAAACGAAAATAAATCTGTAGCCCCTTCATGCTACACACACATAGCTAGCTACCAGTTGATGTGAGCTAATTTATTGTCACTATGCAATCTGTTGCAACACGTCAGCTAGCTGGGCTTTTTTGAATCCTAAATCACAGGTTACCTACTCTAGCCACATCAAAACCCCAGAACATGAACCTGATTGAGGCTTTGAACCGATGAACACTTTTTATTTTCCTCCCTACTCTGAGATGGTGAGGCTTTTCATGCTTCCTCATGGACCTGTAACAGCTAGCCCTGACGCTCACTCTCCCTGAAGGTAGATCTTTGTTTGAAACTGTGGGGAATTGGACATCATTCATGTTATCCAAAACACGTAATAGTACATCATTAAAACGCTTTACACTGTATCAAGACTGTCAAGTTGTCAAAGTTAGCCAGTAACTACAGCTTTGTTTGTCACTTACCTTCATAGTTGTTATCTACCCGCTCTACCGTAGACCGGATGTTAACAAGCGCCCACTCAATGAACCGGAAATGGAAATACGTCATCCCGTGCAACTAGCCTTATAGAGTGTAGTGATGGGAATTATGGCTCTTTGAAGGGAGCCGGATCTTATGGCTCTGTTCCTTTCAAAGAGCCGTTCAAAAGAGCCGTTCAAAAGAGCCGTTTTTTTAAGGTTACTAGGTTTATCTGCAAAATAATCACCAGGATAATGATTGACTGTATTGCCAGACCTAATGTCAATAATCGGCATTGTAAACATGACACAAGGTGGCGCCATATCCATGTCATCATGTCAGTGAATGTACTTTGAATTTACCCTCTGTATGTGTTAAGTAAATAAAGTTGCCTTGCCTTGAATGAAATTCATGCAACTCTTAATATTAGATACTGTGTTTTTAAGTGGCGATGGAGATTATTTGTTGATCCTGCTTTAAAGGATATTTTGCCTTTACAAATAGTGCGCTTTATCACTGACTGGGTTTTGGTTGAAGTGAATCCAAATGCTGCTGCGTTTTCGCGTTTGGCTCATTTTCCATCCGAAAAACACGTTGTCTACCTGTCCTGTACCACTTGGTATGACTTCTCTCTCGCGTATTCCGTTAAGACCCACCCCATCTCACTCCTCGTGCTGAAACCTACCAAACAGAGTAGGGGCGGGTCTTCACAGAATACGTTTGGGGAACAAAATCAAGCTTTTTAAAAGGAGAGTGGATTTTGGCAGGCAGTGAGTGCGGACCAACGATTGAACGATAACAAGAACGGCTCTCACCAAGTACGACTCGGTTCCCCTCGTTCGTACCAAAGAGCCGTTCAAAAGAATCGGCTCGTTCGCGACCGACACATCACTAATAGAGTGGCGAAGTCCCTCCCACTTACTTCCGGGGTATGGGACCTTATTTCGGAAAAATTATGCATTGAAGTCAATGGGGAGAGAAAACTTATCTTTCGATCCCGTTTGAATTGTGCCATGAATTACACATATGATGTTTGTCAATCTTAAAAAATAATTTCCATGTCAAAAAAGTCACAGTTTGTCGTAAAACTGTTGAAATATAAGACTATGAAAAATACGCAAAAAGACTACAAATCCCAGAGTCGCGTAAGTGATGTCACAATTGAGACACTACGATATACGTATAATACCGTATATATACGATCAGCGCCATATAGATATAATCTATCTATATGGCGCTGGCTAAGATAAGATAACTTTAACAAGATGCCTGTGTGCTTAGTACCAGGTTGTTATTATACCAGCAATGGGTCTTGCTCGTTCTTTCGCTTCCCGTCTGATGAAAGAGGAGTGTGTGGATCAAGTTAGCTACCTAGCTAGTAGCTAGCACGTTAGTTAGCATTACAGCCTTGTCATTTTTATTAGCCTTAACATGAAGTAACATTAAGTAACCCAAAATGTTAAACAGTAAGAGTAGTAGTCATATGTCGTGAACCCTTTGAATAGTACTGTCACCGGTGTGATCATTCTATAATACACCATTTAAGCCCGGGGGAGAAATGCTAACGCTAACGTTAGCATCGGCGATCTTCTCTACTTCATGCTATCTGCACAAATGGTTGACATTAAACATTAAAACGACCAGGCAGTTCAGAGAGAATCAAAGGAAGGCAGGCAGGCAGCTTTGCATGACATTCTTCAGGACGTGTTTCATTGTGGTGATAGTGAGGGTCGTTGTGTTGACAAGACAGTAGTGACGGCCATCTTGGTGACGTCACGTGTGTTGTTGACCAGAGATGTAGTTCATTTAGCGTTTCACACAAACAAATGTGTTACTTCACAGTTTTACAACACCTTTTTTTTTTTTTTGACTTGCAAAATTATCTTTTAAATTGACAAACATCATATGTGTAATTCGTGGCACAATTCAAACGGGATCGAAAGATAATCTTTCTCTCTCCATTGACTTCAATGCATAACTTTTCCGAAATAAGGTCCCATGGGGCTCCACCGGAAGGGGAGGGACTTCGCCACTCTATGGAGGTCCACCGGAAGGGGAGGGACAACTCCATACGGCAACCCAAATAGGACACTTGACACAGTGGCGTTGGCAAAGCAGAAAAAGAAAATAAAAAAACCGGGAGAGATGAGTTATTATTACAACGTGACTTCACTATTATTTAACAACTCTTTTTATTGGGTCCTTTTATTGGGTTAAGTACATTGTCAGAATAAGTGAGAAATTGATTTAACTTCTGTTAGACAGCTATCATACTGAAGATGGAAACATTTACTGTGAATGTATGCAAACATGTATGGCATTAACCCTCTGAGACCCACATAGGACATTTCCGTTTTTGTATATTTTTGTGTTTTGCCTTATAAACTGCTAACCATAACATTGAAAAAAACATTCAACACAGACAATTGCACACATTTATTATCATTGTATCAGAACTGATTAGAAGATTCTAACTTCTTCTGTTCATTAGTTATGCCCATTCTTTTGGGCAGTGTCCATGGGCGTTTCTTTGCCAGGAATTGTCATTCTTTTTGTCAAGACTACACATGATATATATCATGGTAGTTCCTTTCCACAATCACACATGGCATGCTGAGCAGATTTGTCTGAATTTTCATCAACATCATCCACTTGAAAAATCAGCTCCAAAGCCTCAGCTGTAGTAAACTTCCTTGCCATACCTCAGTTTACTTTCAAAACACTAAAAGAACGTATTCCAACTTTGATTTTGTTTTCGCGCGTGGAATTATACCGGCTCTCGTTTCAGTACACATAACAACGGAACTGACAGGCAACCCTCTGAATCCGACTCCGATTGGCTGTGACTGCATCCACTCAGAGTGTCCGATTCAGAAACGTGACTCTTACACTCTTTACGTCACAAACAAAGATGGTGGATGAGAATAGACCAAGCCCCCAGGAAGTGCGCCGGACTCTGATGAAAATATTCGTTATGTCCAAACGGCGGTACTACAATTTCCGTATCAATCCGTGACGTCATTGGGCCCAGAAAGACTTTTTCCCATTGACTAACATTGGGAAAGAGACGTCTGTATATCAGCGGATAATTTTTTTTAAACTAAATAAACTACCCAGTATGAACTATTTTATAGCCCTTATTATATTCATTAGGTCCTTAAAGTTGTAAAATGCACTAAAAGCCGAATCTAGATTTATTTTCTGTCTCCATTCATTCTACTGAGCCGAGATTGGGAGCTCCGGGGTGGGGCTTAAGGGGCACATGCTCTGTGAGCGCACATACAGGTTCTTCTGCTCTGACAGCCAGGCATGATGGGTAATCTGTGATGTTTCGCTATCTCAAAAGTTGGGCCATTTTGTCCTCATGCGCCAATGAGCAGCTCTCATAGGAAAGAACGAGACCCCGTCTCCGACGCTGTATCCAGTTCTTATTATACATCCATGGTAGTCACAGTCACACTGGTTATCAACTCGGTAAATCAACCTGTCCGGCAGGGAGCGCATTCACGTAAAAGGGGCGGGGTTAGCAACATTTGCCCAATCACAAACAGGGACAAGTGTACTGAAAGCGCAGCGTCATACTTCATGAATTAAAAGTAAACTATCATGTCAGACAAATACGAAGAAGTTAAACTTTAAACATCCATGACTTAAACACTTAATCCAGGATAAAAGACATATAGTTGCACCTGCAAGGTGAATACAGTACAGCTGGTACAGCTGGTTAAAAGCTAAAAAAAAAAAAGAATACCGAGTGTTTGAATGCGTACATTAACAGTTTTATGATATCATTGCCCCGTCAAAGACACAAGTGGATCTGACTTTAATTACATTTGACTCGAGTGTTTCGTCAACTTAATGTGTTGCTTAAAATAATACTTCTGCATACAGTATGTGACACTGTAATGGCGCATTTCCACTGCAGCGCGGAGCTCGCTTTAAGCGTGCCGAGCCGTGCGGGGGCCCGTTTTTGGTTGCGTTTCCACTTAGCGTAGTACCGGCTAGCGGGTACTATTTCACAGTTTTCTGGCCCCATAAAATCGAGGTTCTTTCCGGGCCAACAACCAGGCTGAGTCGGGCTGAGTATGCTAAACTAGAGAGAGAATCGCTGGCAAGGGGGCTACAACTACAACAAGATGAACATATTTGACCGTGATTTAATTGTAATACACGTTTCAAAATGATGCCGAAGTAACAACATACTGATACCAGTTAGTAAAAACCATGAATTAATGCTTTGACAAGTCTGCAGACAGACGGCAGGCGAAAAACCTTTTAAAATGCGTGTTTTCTGAATGGAGATTGGCTAAGCTAACGTTGTATATGCTCCGACCGTCCACACTCACAACAACGGCCTATACAGACATA